CTCTCTCTCTCTCTCTCTCTCTCTCTCTCGTAAAATAATAATAGTTAAACAAATTAATAATTATTAATAATTAGATTAGTAATAAATAACTAAATTTAAATTTAAACCATTCTAGATTTCACTACATTGACAATTTACTATAACATCAATTAAAACTAGTATTTCTACACACAATACCTCTTTAGTGCTACGTTTCCCGGAATCGTTGGAGACCCCGGTGGTGGCCGAGTACGAGGACCGGGACGGGTGGCACCGATACTGGACACCATTTTTCGACCAATACTACCTATTCGTACAGCCAATACTCAAACGCGTGCGGAGTTACGGCACCGTACGTCTGGCCTCCGCCGACCCCTTCCAGCCGCCCCTAATTGATACCCGCTTTTTGGCCGACCCCCGCGATTACCAAGATTTCTACGACATTACGCGCTATGTACTCAAGTTCGTCGGGAAGTCATCGTTTGCCGCACACGTCGTGCCCCACAAACCCATACCCGGCTGCGCCTTCTGTCGACTGAAAGCGCCCCACAATTGCGACCAATATATCCGATGCCTAATCAGACAGATTACTCGCACCGGCTATCATCCGGTGGGCACCGCACGCATGGGTGACCCTAAACGGCCGGATACTGTGGTCGACCCCCGCCTAAGGGTTAAGGGGGTCCGGGGGCTGAGGGTTTGCGACGCGTCAGTGATGCCGGAGCTCATCAATGGTAATACAAACGCCGCGTCGATAATGATTGGCGAGAAGTGCGCCGATTTGGTCAAAGAGGACGCCCGGCAACTGCCCGGCGCTGGCGGTCGGACTCGGGCTGATAGGGGTAGAGGTCTGGTTCGCGACTATGATCGTGATAATTACGATTGGGAGAAGCAAGGTGAAAATATTGATGGCGGTGGTGGTGATGGTAAAGTTAGGGCTGGTTAGTCTAGATGAGACCACCTGACAGATTATTATAATAGTATTAAATTATTATTAAATTAGTTTATTATTAATACTTATTATGGTTTGTATTATTTTATAACTTAATTTTAAATAAAACATTTTCTCAATAAAAGCGTAAATTTTTTTAACACTAATATCAGATTATAACTTATACATTGTTATTGCATACTGTTTTACTTTATATAAATGCGCTGAGAGTTTAATTTACAATTTAATTAATTTCTTTACAAACTAATTAATCCTATATTGAATGGTTAGATTGCATTAGTCTAGTTTATGTGCGGGTCGTTATCCCTGGCGGTTGTTTTGCGTAATTAATGTGTTTATTCACCATGTCCACCTCTGCCAGTATTGCCATCTTAATTGCAATTTTCCGTTTAATTCGTTAACTTTCATCATTAACACGACTACTAACCACCACCATCTGGGTACATCAGTTTAATTAAACAATTAATTCTGGTTGACATTAAATTTCCTACATTTTACAACTAATTAAAGCAACAGAAAGTAATACAATCAAAATATTATAGCAATGCGTGTATTGGCCATCATCTTGGTGGTTGTGGCGATTTTAACAAACAGCGCTTACATGGCGCATGATAATTCTACATTTTGTATTCGTATGTAAAGTGTTAACTGTTATGAGCAATTTTTAAATACTAATTTTTATGATCTTGTTCACTCTGTTTAGCCAATTTCGAACCACACCCGCAACCATACCGACATCAACGGCCCGCGACAGGTGGACACATGTTTTAAGCAGACATTTTAACGCATGGGTTCGAGCACTGCCAACATCTATCTGGACCCTAACCCCCACCACCGGAATCTACATATACTGACCCGAGCTCTGGCCACTAAAATACTGTTGGGAGCCGTACGGTGGCTGTCGGCCGATGCCGTGGAGTTTTATCGAAATGGTAAAACACATGTAATTAAGGCTATAAGGGAGGTGATTGTTAGCGCAGGTATGTTTAGGTGACATGACCCTAGTTAATAATATTCTTGATATATTGGAAATATATCTAGAGTGTTCTGACGTTACATAATAGGTAACTTTCTCCCCCAACCCCTCCCCCTATAACCTATGTCATTGTTTTACTAACAATATGTAATTTTCTGTTTACAAGTGAGAGACTCCATTGCCATATCGCTCATATTGTGTGGCTATTGATGTCATAGTCACACGCTATGAGCGATACAGCAATGGAGTTGAAGCACCAGAAAAGTTGGAAATCATTAAAGAGAAGTGCAATGAATTTGGCGATACTAATGGCACGGGTAGACTGTGAGTACTGTAGAAATTGTATTAATAAAACTAATTTTCAAAATAAGTTTATATACGTAAAAAACTGAGTGCGTTTAATAATTTAGAAATTAATTATTAAAAAAAAATCCATTAAAAAATCCCATAGATAATTTAATTAAAACTTAAATAAATGCGTTTTATGTGATTTTATTAAATAGCATCTGTTAAAAAATGTCTGTTATATACGACTTCACGGGTAAAGTAGTGTTGATTACGGGTTCGAGTTCGGGCATCGGTGCGGCCACTGCTGTCCAGTTCGCCCAATCGGGTGCCAGTGTTGTGGTCACCGGTCGTAGAGCTGATAAAGTGGCAGAAGTAGGCGAACAGTGTCTGAAAGTATCGCCAAAAGGAATTAAAGCGCTGGAAGTGACGGCAGATGTGACCAAACGGGAAGACATGCGACGACTCGTCGACCAAACTATCAAACATTTCGGTAAACTTGATATTCTGGTCAATAACGCCGGACTTAATGCCAGACCAACTGATGAGGACTTTTACGAGAAATACGAGACAGTAATGACAATTAATCTCAATTCTGTGGTTTATTTAACGCATGTATGTGTCGAGTATTTGGAGAAAACTAAAGGAAATATTATTAATATTTCGAGTATTTGTCATAAGCTGTTTCTGGGGGTGTTGTAGCTCATGGGGGTAAACAGCTTATGGGAGGCGTGTGTGGACTTAGTTGCGGATCGAGCCACGTGTTGACATTATTAGTAGTGTTAGTGTTTGAGTTCTCGGGCCTTTCGAGGCAATCCCACGGCGCGTCTGGGGGCTTCACGCCGGTCGCAGCGCGTGTCGGTTCCTCCCTGACCACAGTCTGTGGACCAAGAGTTTAGTCGCGGATCACTTACTGGTGATACGCGAAGTAGACACAAGCGCGGAGACTATAATACTTTTATTGTTAACTGTTTGACGGGTGGGGGAGAACTGAATGTAGAGACAGACAGTTGCTCCCCAATACAACTTTTAGTTACAACAGAGTTTATCCGATAAGAGGGATTAGCTCTTGATAAGAGCTAATCCTATAAAAACATTTCCATTAAAAACTATAGACATTAAAAGTGACTTTAAGTACTAAAACTGTGAGTTGTTATCAACTAAAGTCTGGGGGAAAGGTTGTCCTCGAAAAGCACTCATGACATATTGGCGGAAAGAGAGCCGTAAGTACTTTAACACAAAACAATTAATTTGGTTGAAGTAAACTAAATATACTAACCTGTTATAAATGTACTTATTTTTTACCACAGTATCTAGATTTTGCCCCGTATTGTATGGTAAAGTGTGCAGTGGATATGTTTACTAAATGTATGGCAGCCGAGTTGGGCCCTAAGCGCATCCGGGTTAATGTAATTAAGTAAGTTAGCCCTAAACATAATAATTATACAAAATAAATAAATAATAATATGCACGTTTCTAGCTCGGGGCCGATACGCACCGGTTTTTTACAACAATGGGCGCAACACAGGGCGACTCCGATAAGTTGTTTGAAGCCTACGCTAAAAAATTACCGGTTGGCCGCTACGGCTTGTCTGAAGATATTGCCGGTAGTATACTATACCTGGCCAGTGACCATGCTGCTTTTGTCACCGGCACTAATCTTGTTTGCAATGGCGGGGCCGTTGCCGTCAATGCACTTTACTCCGAAATTCTTAAGATTGTGGTTTAAAATTTTTATAAATTAAAAATTTTACAAGAATAATTAGTAGCAATAATATTTAAGCTAAATTATATTTACTAGTAAAATTATCATTCTCTCTCGCTCTCGCTCTCGCTCTCGCTCTCGCTCTCGCTCTCGCTCTCGCTCTCTCGCTCTCGCTCTCGCTCTCTCTCTTACGGCTCTCTCTCTCTCTCTCTAACTTGTATCGGTCTAATTTGTAATAATAGTAATTTTAACTAGATATGCTCCTATAACTAAAATTTTAATATTTTACACAAATAACAATTTTTAATGTTAATTTTAAATTAGATTAATTTTTAAATTGTACATCAATATATATAATTTTATTGATTTACTTAAGAGGGTTTACTTACTATTTTTATTCATAGAGTAGATCTTGCTCATTTTATCGAGTAATGTTATAATGAATGTTTTATATGAGTGACAATTATTTACTCACATAAACTTTTTTATTACTATAAATTGCAAATATAAATGAAATCCAAAATCAAATACTAATTTATGAATTACTCATATAAAACATTCATTATAACATTACTCGATAAAATGAGCAAGATCTAGTCTATGAATAAAAATGGATTTTAATTCAATCCTAAAGCGCTAAAATCAAAAGTTCTATCTGAATACATGCAACTAATTTTACTAATTATAATTAGACGATATGGCCATTCGCCGAATTTTAAACGCTGGATAAGTAGTATTTTACATTATCTATAAGATGATACCATTTAAATTATATAATCTCACTACGTGTTTAGGTAGAACCCTCTTTAGACATAATATATGTTGTGCCCTTTTTTCTTTACCCATAGACTTAGCATTATCCATAGAGAAGGGCATCACGATTCTATAAACTACATTATTCATAACTGAATTATGTTTAATAATATCAAGAAAGCAATTAATAGTGAATATAGCGAATATTATTGTTTACTAACCTTTTATTTATTTTTAAATATTTAGATAATTTATCATTTTAATTATGAATGAAAAATATACTTATGATTATACATCTGTTCTTTAATACAAAAATGAACAAAATACAGGGCATAACTAGAGCAGAGATAATTCGGGAATTCCCGAATAAAATTAGTTAATAGAATGTTCGGGAATAACATCTAGTTAGTCTTGGACGTTATAATGGAGTAAAAATATACCATTTTTATTTTCCCGAATACTCCCGATTTTGGCATATTTTCAGAATATTCCCGATTTTAGCCTATTTTGAAAATATTCCCGATTTTGACATATTTTAGGAATAAATCCCGACATTTTATTACAAATAGACTAAAACGCACTCTTTTTCAAGAAAAACTAAAAATATTATTATAAAAATCCACAAAATTTTGAGATAAGATTTTTAACAAAATATGCACTAAATGAGTTTGACGATGTTGAACGTTTTTTCTCTCAATTTAAAAATATTCATACAAATAGAAGACAGACTTAAAGAGTAAAACTTCAATTTTTATGTCATTCTGCCTGCTATAATTCATTTTAAATTGATTTAATTCTATAATTATTGTGTTTGAACTAAATAAACGTTAATTCCCGAATATTCCCGAATTTGACTGTTTTACTCCCGGTTCCCGACCGAATTTGGTGGTTTTTAGTCCCGAATAATCTCTGCTCTAGGCATAACTAATTAAAGTGAGGGCTGAAGGCTAAATGTCGTTTCGGGGGTGTTTAGCTATGAGTACTTGTGATAAGCTTATTACACAATTATTGATGGGAACCTTCAATTCAACGACCAATTCATTAATAATATTATATTGTTAAATTTATTTTAAATAAAATTATTGATTTAAAAAATATTTCTCAACTTTTTTGATAATAAATAAATATATAACAAAGTTTACACGCAATGCTATGCTTTAACCACAATTCGGAAAATGCATCAAAAGATTTTAAATTTTTCAATATTTTTGTTAGAATACTTTAACAATTGTTATTTTGAAAATTTTAAATGTTTTTGACAACAATTGGTTCTATTTATTATATCAGATTCATTTAGTATATCTCTATAGAAAAAACATTATTCCATTGAAACAACATTACTTCCATAGACTTAGCATTACCCATGTTATTTCTGTCATAGACTTAGCATTACTCAGGTTATTCTTATGCCATTGACTTAGCATTACTCATGTTATTCCTATGCCATAGATTTAAGCTATAATCCCATTGAAACCCATGTTAAATCGTCTCGAACGATCCTATAAACCACATTTTTCATACTGAATTGTGGTTAAAATACTTTTAAAATATAATAGTATATTCATGTGGTTATTTTTTATGCCAGTTATTGATTGTAGTTAATGGTAAAAAGCAAGATTGTGCAAAATGCTCTATAACAATTTTTTTAAAAATCTACACAGCCATCAGTCTATTTGTCCAATTTTGGTTATATATTGATTTATTTGAATTTAAAATTAAAACGAATAATCTTTTAAATCTATATGGTATATGATGTTATGTATTGACTTATATTGACAACATCGGAATTGATTGCAATTATATACGAAAATAACGAGTTTTTTATACAATCATTATTAACAAAGATAATTAGTAAGCGATTAATAAGTATAATTATATGTTTATAAGGTGCTCGAAGGTGCTTGGAACAAGTTTTATAACCGATTAATTTTAATTATGCGGGAATTTTGTTTAATTTATTGGAATCAATATAATTTGAATGTACAATAATTTTGAAATCATTTATGATGATTTTCCCTGCGCCAAGTGTTCAAACACAATGATGCTATGGTGTATATTATCTAAAGATTGATAAATAAATAATGTCATAAAAATATATATATTTATCTATAATGGTTGCACAAAATCTAAAATGTTATATTTAATAATTTAAATGATAAAAATGTGTTATGTATTGATATAATATTCTTGGATTTATCTAATGCTTTTGATACAGTAAATTATAATTTATTATTAAAAAAATTATTAAGTATAGGTATAACAGGTAAATACTTAGACATTATAAAAAATGGTTTAATTAACACAAAACAGTTTATAGTTTATAATGAAATGTATTCACTAACTGATCATGTTAACAGTGGCGTAAGACAAGGTGGCGTACTGTCACCGTTATTTTATAGTATTTATGTACATTATTTGCAAAATGTATTACACTGTCCGTACTTTAAATGGGCGGACGACACCGTTATATTAAATATAATTAAATCACCCGAAGATATAAATGTATTGCAAACAGATTTACAAATGTTTGAAAAATATTGTACAGAAAATTATTTACAGTTAAATGAGTTAAAAACAAAACATTTGAGAATATCACTCAAAAATTGTAATTTCAATCAATATGTAGTAAAAAATAAAACAATAGACATTTCACACAATCATAAGCATTTAGGTATAATTTATGACACAAAACTTACATTTAATAATCATTGTATGGAATTATTTAATAATAGTTTTAAAAAATTTAATTTTCTAAAATTTGTCTATAAGAAAGCAAATGGTAATACTTTTTTACAATTGTATAAAACATTTATTTTGCCGTTAATTGAATACTCAAATAATTGTTGGACACCTAACACAACACAAACACAAAAAATAGAACAAATACAGAGAAGAATTACCAAGTTTATTTGTTATAAACTTGGTAAATCTGATCTTAATTATCAGGACAGACTAAAACTTTTAAATTTATCGTCACTTCAATCTCGCCGTGAAATCAAAGCATTAAAAATTGTTCAAAACTATAGATGCAATACAAATACCATGCCATATGAATGGTCTCATAATTTTAAGTTTTATAACACATGCAGACATGGTGTAATTTTAAAATCAAATATACAACGAATTAATTTAATTGAAAAAGATTTTTAACCACTATTCTGATAGGAATAATTGTGTTTATAGGATCGTTCGGCCCCCTCCCCCTCCCGGCATGAGATTTAACATGGGATTACAGCTTAAGTCTATAGCTATACTTTAACATGGGGTTCTTGAGTCTATTGGGAATTAACATGGGATTACAGCATAAGTCTATAACTATACTTTAACATGGGTAATGCTAAATCTATGGC